CTTGGTGTTCTTCTGGTTGGATCTTAGGACTTTAGCTTTTGGGGTCTCTACATGAACCACAATAAGGAGACTAAAAGTTTAACTTGTTGGAGGGGTTCAGAAGTCAGCCAAGTTCCGTCCATCGCAGGGTTGAGGGTTTCGGGTTTTTGGGTCAGCGTTTAAGGCTTCAGGTTTATGGTGGGTTTAGGGGCAGGGTCTATATAGGCAGGGCTTCGAGTTGCAGATGCTCGCAATCACAATCTGGGTTTGACATGATGATGTAAAGTGTTCTTCCAAGTTGAGTGTTGCTGGGCTCTCTCGGTTCCTTGAGCATTGCCGGTTTCCTCCTTAACGTCGAAGGCAGACTCCGTAGTTAGCCGTAGTTAAAGGGTCTTTGGAGTCTCTGGGTAATATAGAAGCCTAGAAAAGTACACATATCTTGTTCCTTAGGATTCCTTATTAAAGAGGAGCCCAAAACCCTAGTCCAATTATTAAGGCCCCGAAATATTACGGAGGTTTCAAGCCTAGCACCTGGGAAGTGTGCTTGAGAGGAGACAGGCCGCGGCCGTGGTTGTGATGGGCGTGGATGGGTGTGGGGAGTGCTGTCAAGATGCTCTACTGTAGGCGCCTAAATAAGTACCAATACTATTTTGGGGTTCCTTATAGTTATAGTATACTGGGCCGCAAGACCCTATTCTAATTTTTAAGCCCCTATATTGTGACCCTACCCGGGGCTCGGGATACGGCTGCGAACCTGTGCATCCCTATCGCAAGTTTTGCAGTCTGCCTAGTAGTAGGGTAGGTAATCTTTAACCTTTTTGGGGTAGTACAATCCCTATATAACCCCTATATAACCCCAAAGGTTAACCTTTAGTTCCCCATGATACCCGACAAGTAAGTCTGAGGTATGACAACACGGTATCTCGATAATTGAGATGCAAAGGGATTAGCCTGTTCGGTGGTTTCGGGTTTGGGCCACGGCAAACCCTAAACCTTGAACATATCTAAAAGCCAATCCCTACATATTTCATAAGACCCTAAACCCTAAACCCTAAACCCCTAAACCCCTAAACCCCTAAACCCTAAACCCCTAAACCCCTAAACCCTAAACCCTACGTAAACCGTCAACCCTCCCGGGCCCCCTGGATCTAGGACATCTTCAGGTGGATAGTTACCGTTATAGGAGCCTTATAGAAGGTCTATAGACCTTCTGGAAGCCTTATAGAAGCCCTACCTTAAAATCCCCACCTGTAGTTTCCTCTAACTGGATCCCTAAACCCTAAGCCACCCCGGGCACAGGCGCTCTCGCAAGGCTGCGGCCGGGGCTTCCAGCGGAACCCGAAGTCGTCGCCCGACGCAGGACTTAGGAATTGAAGGGTTTAGGGTTTGGGTTTCAGGGTTTAGTGTTTAAGGTTTTTGGTTGGGTGTTCTTGGGTTTTATGTTCTTTCTTCTGTAATTTGGCGTTCCCATGGCTTCATGAGATTTATGACATAGAGACCGCGGGTTCTAGGCTGTACGGCTGAAGAACTGGTTAGCTGTAGGTAGGCCTTATCTGCTTTGGGGTGCATATAGTCCGTTCTCCAAGACCTAGTAAGAGGATTGTTGTCATGATATTCCAAGGACTCTAGTCTCATCATTTTAAGGCCCATTTTGACAGGTACGGCAACAATCGCTCGCACTACTTGCGTTGACGGAGGACGAAGCTGTGACTGCTGACACTATCTGGCTGCCATCGGAAATGCACGAGCTACTACAACAACAACGAGCTTTGAATGCTAACTCATTCTGGACGATGGCAGCGACTCGATTAAAATCGCGCTTTGAAATGGATTCCCTGCGCAGAAGCGGTCCCTCACCCTCGGGCCTACTCGTTGCCAGTCCTCAATCCCGTCATGGTATAGTAAGGGCCCCTCACGGCACCCGAACGTAGAGCAAGTCTACAGGACTTAAAAAACACCCTAAACCCAAACCCTATAACCTTATAATTTCCCTTACGAACCCTTAAACCCCAAACCCGAAACCCTAAACCCGAAACCCGTAACTTCAAGCAGAGCTTGAATGTACCATCTGAAGGTCAGGACATATACACACTGAGCGCAGATGTAGTACATAAATTCCGCAGCTACATCACTACGTCACTTACTACATACCTTACAACAGCGACCCTGAAACGAACCCCATTTACGGATTTCACCGTAACCAGGCTTAGATCATGATGAAATCGTTCGTCCCCAAAAGAGTTACCCAACCACCGCGTATACTGGCTTACTCACTTGGTTATTGATCCTAAACCTTAACCCTACGCCCTAAACCCTAAACCCTACACCCTAAGCCCTAAACTCTAAACCCGAAGCGCTAAGCCCTAAACCCTAAGCCCTTAGCCCGCCGACACCCTACGTAAATCCGAACCCAAAGTCCGAAACCCTAAGTGACGGAGGTTTAGGGCTTTGGGCTTAGGGTTTAGGGTTTAGGGCTGAGGGCTTACGGCTTAGGGTTTAGGGTTTTTAGGGAACCTTGCAGAAGGTGGGGTGGCCTTACGTCGAAGTCCGTACAGGCGCCCTCCTTGATGGTGCGGGCCCCATGGTAACGCGGAGGCTTCAAAGCTTACATGGAGTTCCGGGGATTTCCCATTGAGGAATCTACCTTGATATATATATATATATATATATTTTTTTTTTAACTATGTAGGGATCCTACCGTTGATAATACAAACCCTGCACTACCTGAAGGACGCTAAACTATGGGAATTATGGTCTATTCCTTATTATGGGTAATGCAGGATTTCTATCATCAACTGTACCATGACTTCAGGTGTATTCCTTAATGGAAGATCTTGGGTTAGGGTTGGGTGTTCGTCATAGTACGAGTATAGATATAAGGAGTACAAGGAGATATACGCTTGTTAACTTTTATTAACCAATGGCTCAAGCATCCATAGTAGCGTCCTGCGAAGGTTGTACAAGAACCTGCTCTACTCAGAGAAGACCCAACGCCCATTAATCAAGGTATCTTCCGTATTTAAAACTAACAAAGCCTGTTTTTGTAGGGACAGCTTCACGACCCAGTACAGAATTTGTGCAAGCCCCCGGAGAAAAGTAGGTTATGATAGTTTAAGTTTACCTACGCCGGGCTTGGTCGGACTTAGGCCAAATTCCTTGTGCCAGTGGTATGGCACCCTCTGGGTACACCCTTCACAACCTAGACCCGGGCACCCTAAACCCTGTACTTGTAGGGCGCTGGAAGCTAGTTTCAACAACCAGCCCTGCAACCGCTGGCTATAGGGGCTTGAATAATTTCTTATACTATCTTCGGGGTGCCTTATTTTAGTAATTATAGTATAATATGCCCCAAGAACCTATTCTAATTATTGAGGCCCTGTGTTATCTTTTACCCAAACTCTTCTGGTTTGAGGGTCTACGGTGTCGGGCTTGCGTGTCTCACATAACCTGAACCCCAATCGATAGGCCCAAAATACACAAACCCTTAACACATTTCGAAATGCTCAAAGTGCCGAAACTCTAAAGCCCTCTTCGTCGCGAGGTCGGGAAGTTCGACCTCACTCGTCATCTAGGGAAGCTGCCGGCGTCCCCAGAGCGCTTCCCTTCGTCTGGGTTTTGGGGTTCTTGTGAAGGAACCGTGAAACTAGCCATGACAAGGAAGGCACGTTATTCATTGTCTTCTACATCCCAAATCCGAAGTACATATAGGTCAATATATATATATATATATAT